TGTAGGACCTCTTCGAATCCTTGAAGAAAGGAAGGTGTATGATGAATTAAGTGCAGATGGTAGGAATTAAAAGGGTGGTCTCGTGTTTGAGGCAGTTGGATACCACCCTGATGAAGTGAGTTTGATGTCTGTGTTTGTTTTTAGGATGTGCTTTTTACAAGTTCTTCTCAAACAGATCATTCTGCCCTTAAATTGGGTGAGCATTTGTAGTTAGAGAAATAGACTTGCAGAAAGCACATGAAGAATGCAACTGAAATGTGCTTTGAGCAGATAGTTCCAACTTGTGAGAAACTGTAGCGTTTTTAGACATCTAAAGAAGCGCGTTTGCAATTACATGGCCTTAACTCTTTATCTTATTTTTTCATTCCTTTGGTGAGGGAAGCAGGCTATTCCATAGCAGTGTCATGAGAAAGCATTCTCATGTCATATTAATGAGCACCGTGAAAAGCTGATTGCCTGGTTGGCTTTCAGATTGGGTTTTGGATAGTGTATGTGATGACTCTTATTAAGCAAAAAGGACAAAATAAAGCTTTCAGTCACTAGTCAGTTGTTTGGTATGAGAAACAGCTGGTATGACCATTCCATGTGGCAACTGAAGCCTGAATGTTAAAATGCACAGAAGATCTGACAAAGCTGTACATACAGGCTTAGTTATTTCAACTTGTGACTTTTTGAGTCCTCTATTTTGGACCTCTCAAGATTTTTTTTTCCAGGAGATTTTTGTGCTAGCCAGGTTATCAACAGAGTTCTTGGTAGAATTGTCTGTCAGCTTCCTAGCCCTGGTATTTTACTGGCTTTCAAGTGGTTGTTGTAATTTAAAACTGGTTTTAGGTTTAGGATTAGACGCGCCCTTCCGTGCCCCTGCTGTAAGGTGTTAATTTTAAAGCTCAATTGTCTGAACTATGTTATGCTCCCAGCAGGTGTTCCTGCAGCAGAAAAAATGTCCGTGTTACTTCTGTGCTGAGCTGCCTCACGGAGGAGCTCCATATTGGGTCTTCTCTGATTTCCGTCCTTCCTTCCTCCACCAAACTGAAGCTGTCCCTTTGATGACAATACCGAGCCAAAGGATTAAAGAGAGGAGAAACGTTTCTTGCTCCAGTTCTGTTCTCTTTGATTATTTGTGTGGCTCTTTCTTCACCTTCCTTTAGTGACTGAAGTTAAGCATGAAAAGTTTTCCATCTCTTCAAATATTGTTCTCCTTCTCTGAAGCATTTAATGGTCTATAAAGTATTTAATGTCTGCTTCTGAGGAGAGAAAGCCAGATGCTGAAGTGTTTTCCTCCATGCCAAGAAAGGAACACAACTTTAGTTTGGGGGAAGCTATGGATGCAAAGGAATTAGAAATGTGGAAAGGGATGGAGGAGGAATAAGAGGGAAGAAAAGTGCGGTATTTTGTGATTGCATGTGTGTGAAAGCTCTTCTAATGAGTTTGTGCTTGGTCAGACTCTAGTTACTGTGTTTGGCTCAGTGTTTGCTCTCTTACAGAGCTAGAAATACTTAGTGCAAGCTTTAAGGGAGAGAAAGGAAGGGTGACTAATACAGATCTTCTAGAAGACAAGATGCAAACACCAGAGTTTTCTTCGTGTTTAGATGTTTCAAGAGGACTGTAGAGCTGTTAGTAGGCATCAATGAAATGCATGGATAGAGGGAAGTTGCAGTTTTCTGTGAGTTTTTTGTGAGTCTCTGTGAAAGCATCACGATTGTAGGGATTGTCTTTGTAGTAATGTCAATGCATCTCTTTATTTACTTAGAGGATGTCAGAATAAAGTAAGTTAGAGGTAGTGGTATCACAAAAATCTTTTATGGCAGCAGAACCGAGGGATGTACCACTCTCCAACTGTCTAGTGCCTGAATTTACTGTGAACTGCACTCTGCTTGCTTCCTTATGATAAGGATACATCTGCCTACTTTGCAAGGGTCTGTAACCCTTAGGAAATCAAGTGGTGCCGTCTCTGCTGGTTCCAGCCATTGTTGCCCACCACATATTTTTCAATCTGGACAGATGAGGCTCTGGCTTTATTTGCCTTGCTGAACGTAAACTTTTATAATTCCATTTGGAAAGTGTGTATCAGAATGGAAGGAAATTCAGATTTTCATTATAGTTGAGTTAGTGAATAAGTGTCATTGGAAAATGATGATAAGGGACAATTTGAAAAAAAAAAAAAAAAGTAGTTTCCAGCTTCTCCCACCCCAAACCTCTGACTATCTAGATTCTGCCGACATTTGGTCTAAATTAGATCTAAATACTTGGAAGAGTCATCAGATGAGAGCTGGTAGCCTCAGTGAGCTCAAGAAGCAAAAGAATGTCACTGGTCTGTCTGCTCTGATAGCTGCTTGATGTTCCTCCCATTGTCTTGGAGACTGCCAGTCAGGACCTATTCCAGGAGTAGACACTGGGACACGATGGAGTCCTCAGTTGATAAGTTAGCATGGTACCGTGTAGTCACTTTTGGGGAATGTTCCCTTTTAATTTTCATTTATTTATTATTATTTATCCTTATGAGGGAGACATCAAGTTTCCTTTGCTCCTTTTATTCTTCTGGCACATGGACATGTACTGGTTCAAGGCTTGTCAGTATTAGAAAGCTTATTCCTGAATAAGCACAGAGCAACAGTAGCAGCATCCACCTTCTTGAAAGTCATCTTTCTTCCCCTGCAGCTGCCACGGGAATGTCTCTTACCAATGCAGTATGTGGCCATAGCCTTCAGTTCCTGCTTATAAATCGTTTCACGTTACACTTCAGATGCACGCATCTCTTAAATTGTTTTAGTGCAGCGTACTGAAAGATGCCTTTCACCTTTATGAGACTTCGGATTAGTTGCATCTGTGACGCAGCACATATGGTCTATGGAAAATTACAAAAGATCTTGTGAAAGGGAGAGGATTTGGTGATTCATAGGCATCGCTTGTTTCTGTGTGAAAGCTACAGGCACAACCCACACTCAGCTAATGCTTTTATTACTGCTAATGGCCAGTTCGTTTAAAATTGATTTTGTTGTTGACTGGTAATTTTTTCAGAGCTTCCGCCAAATGGTTTTATAAGACAAAACATTCTGCATTTTCTCCATGTTTCTTCGCTTGACCAAAACCGAATCTGGTGCAACCATTTTGTCAAACACTCCTGTTCTCTCTTTGGTGGTGCCCTTGGAGATCTGCAGTGGGCTGGGAATGCCTGGAGTGTTTCTAATTTGACTTGCCAGTCTTCCGTATCCTGCAAACTTCTGAAATCGAGGTAGATCTTTAACACAGGGATACAGTTCCTATCAGTACAGCCTGCTGTCTTGGTTGTGGATACTGTAGTATTGAAAAGTCAGAAAGAACCCTTCATCCCTTCAGGAAAGGGCACACTCTCTTTTGGGGACTGTTAGGCTTCTATGGCTACTGCGTGGACTGCTGTTGCTGACTGTTACGGTGTCTCTGGACGGTGCATGACGTAGATGTGCCTTAAACTGGCATGCAGTGCACTGGCCCAGCACTTGGGATGTTTAATGCAGCAGAATTCCTGGCTGGCCTTGAACAATTCAATCTGCTGAGTACTAGTTGTAGTACTGTTCCTGTAGAGGTGGTGGTGAGGATAATGTTGGAGGTTAGGCTGCACATGCTGCTGTAGTGCTGAGCACTGTGTGAATGGAGAGAAAAGTACATTATGCTCTGGCTCAGATTTTAATGGACTGTGTAGGAAGCTAATAAATGGAGAACAAAGCAAAGTAGACAGAGTACTTTAAAAGGGTTTCATTGTGTAAAGGGAGGGAAGGAAGGATACATCATTCCACTTAATAAGGAAGCAAGGAAGTTGCTGAAGATTACCCTAAGCCAGTTGATCTGTGCTGTAGTTCAAATGCTACAAAATTCTGAAATCTCTTAGCACCAAAAAGTCCTGTGTTCTTCCCTCATGAGAGCTCAGCCGTTTTTCGTTCCAGAGGGCAAGGAACTTATCCTGTTTCTTTGCCAGTCTGTTATAAGCAGGATTTCTTGATTGCTGTCAGCAGTGTAGTGTTAAAGCTGGTTGTTGAAATCTGTACTGTTTAATAAAGCATTGTGATTGTGTTTTAAAATGCATTTTGACTTTTTAATAAACGTAAGCATACCTGGACATGGTAGATGAGCGGATATCTTGGGAAAGGCACCATGTATTTGTGTAGTACTTTGGTGCCATAGATCTCTTTGGAAATGTGGACACTCGCAGTACAAACCCATTGTCTGGCACTGCTGAAACATGCACAGTGAGAGGATGAAGAACAGCAAAAGTTACCAGATTGTACAATTCCATGGGCTCATGGGCTTGCTTGTTGTGGGTGTGAATTAACATCTCAGTTCAGCAGCTGAAGTTTAAATGTCGATTGCCTGCACTGACAGCTGTTCACCCATTACTTTTATTGATTTGTTTGCTGTTTTGTTTTTGATTTGAAGGAAGGAGGGTGGTGCTGGATTCTAATTTTTGGAAAGTTAAGGGTCTGCGTGGTTCTTTTGGGAAAAGAGATGTGTTGAGAGAAGAACAGGAATGGTGGAAGGAATGGCAAGGAAAAAGGATGAAGGATGAGAGCAGAATGGGGATGATGAAAGGACAAGGACCTGGGAAGCAGAAAGGAATAAAAAGTTTAACCTGTAATAGAGAATGAAAACAAGGTAAGAAAAGGAAGGGGAGGCAGAAACTTGGAGATGTGCAGTGATGCATAGGGTAATCTTGCTGTGGCAGGAATGCAGGATACATGGGGGGCTGTGCATTGCTCTCTGCGATCTGTGCAAATGAGTGAAGTCGCAATAATGAGAGTCCATGGTTTTCTATAGTCTCCCTTCAGGTTCTGGAATGCCTATGTAAGGTCCCCGCCTTCTCTTCTCTAGGCTGAAGCCCCAACTCTCAGCCTGTAGGGGAGGTGCTCCAGCCTTCTGATCATCTTTGTGGCCCTCCTCTGGACCTGCTTAATGTCCTTCTTGTGTTGGGGGCCCCAGAACTGGACACAGTACTCCAGGCACAGTCTCACAAGAGCAGAGTAGAGGAACAGAATTGCCTCTCTTGACCTGCTGGCCACACTTCTCTTGATGCAACCTAGGATATGATTGGCCTTCTGGACAGGAAGCACATATTTCTAGCTCATCTTTAGCCTTCTCATCAACTGACACATCCAAATCCCTCTCCTCAGGGCTTCTCTCAAACCATTCTCCACCCAGCCTGTATCTGTGCTTGGGATTGCCCTTACCCAGGTGCAGGACCTTGCACTTGGCTTTGTTGAACTTCATGAGGTTGGCATGGGCCCACCACTCAAGCCTGTTCAGGTCCCTGTGAATGGCATCCCTTCTCTCTAGCATGTCAGCTTGGTGCTACTCAGCTTGGTGCTGTCTGCAGGCTTGACGAGGATGCACTGTCCATGCCCACTGTCACATGTGACACTGCCCACTGTCCACGTTGCCTTCAAAGATATTAAATAGCATTAGACCCAGCACTGGTCCCTGAGGAACATCACTCGTCACGGGTCTCACTTGGACATTGAGCCATTGACTGCAACTCTCTGAGTGTGACCATCCAGCCAATTCCTATTCCAGTGGATGATCCATCCATCAATTCCATTTTGTCATGCAGGGCAGCGTCAAATGCTTTGTATAGGTCCAGGTAGATGACATCAGTTGCTCTTTCTTTATCCACTGATGTTGTAACTCCATTGTGAAAGGCCACCAAGACATCTGATTTTTATGGGACTGCTGAAGTGTTGTTTTCTGATAGCCGTCACAACATTGGCCAAGTAATTTCAGACCACTGGAAAATACTGCGATGAAGAGTGTTTGTTTATTTATTAGTACTTTTGTTTGTTAGAATAGATAAGTTCTTTTGGGTTAAGCAGCAGAGAGCAGAAAGCTTTCCCATACACAGGTGTATGGGAACTGCTGAGTCACGGCCTGAACCTCTGATTGATCACC